TATTACGACGATGCCTCTGTACACGGCTACTGACACCCGGCATCAATCGTGCTGCCTCCCAGACTATTCAATTAAGTATCTCCCCCTCCCACCACGTCCTCCGATGTTCCTTCGCCTTCTTCTTTCTCTCGCGAGCCAACCTTCCGGGGAACGCGGTGGCTTCTGGAGAGAATCTAGGGAGAGCATCATTGGCCAACGTAGTTTTCTTACTTTTTTTTTAGGTTTTTGTGTCGTAGTGGCTGTTATAGTAGGAAACAGATATTTTGGTTCTCAGTTTTTTTTAAGTTATTTGCCACTGCATCGATGTGCATTGGAATAATGTAGAAGGAATTATTTTTGCAGAATAGAGTGAAGTGGAGATTTCTTTTTTTGAGGTTTTTGTGTCGTATCGACTGCTATAGTAGGAAACAAATATTTTGACTCTTAGTTTTTGACAGTTATTTTGCATTTATCGATTTAGATTGAAATAATATATAAGGAAAAATTTTTACAAAATAACCTCAAATGGAGACTTCTTTTTATTGAGATTTTAAGAACCAAATATTTTGGCTCCTACCTTTTATCATTCATTGCCATAAATATTTAAAAACACGGTAAGTAATTTATAGAAGTTGTAAAATCCTCTTTACATATTATTGAAAGCATAAGAATACTTTTTGCAATAAACACTGTTTCATTTTGCAATAAAAATAAATTAATCGAACTCGTTCGAGTGAAATTTTCATCACAGGCACAATTCACTGTATGGAGATGGAAAGTTAACGTCTGAAAGGAACGCGGCTCCGATTTGCCGCGATGTAATCTCCTCCCTGTGGTCCACCATTTTTCGTACTATCGCGAAGACGAAGCGCGAGTATCTTCGCTATTGGTCGAAACGCTGACATCCGAGCCATTCCACGTCAAATCGTACACTTTCTGCCGCTATGTGAGCCACTCAGAAGCCGAAGTGACTAACTCCATCAAGTTGAATTTATTAAATTTGTTTCATTTATGAAGACTTAAGCACGTGCTTTGATACTTAAATTGGGAGAATTTGAAAAAGTGAAGTTAGTCGTTTTGGCTTCTCAGTGGCTCATATCTTTGCAGAATAATGAGAAACTAACTTGTGTCAAATTTTAATCTCTTATTTTAAACGATTTGCGAGATATTAAGTGTTAAACAAATTGCCCAAAAATTGAGCAAAATATGTCAACTTTTGATCCTCGATATTTTTGATTGGCTAAGAGGCACTAAATTGCTTTCAGGATTATTTTAAAAGAGAAACAGTGCTTTTTACAAATATCTACACAAAATGTTTATTAAGAATATTCGATGTTAAAAATTCAATTTAAACCTCTTCCATTCAACAAAATTCTATTCAATCTCAATTTTCAAGAGTGCTTCGTATAAATATGTACCGGAAATGTTTAGTATTATTTATGCGAATAACAGTATTCAATGTTAAAAATTTAGTTTCTATTTTGTACGTGTACAAATATAAGAAAATGGTATGCAAAGAGAAATATTTATTTTAATCGATGTCGTTATAATTTAAAATTTTTAGCCACGATCGATCTTCATGCACCTAATTAATTTTCTTGCAATTAGTTTGTCGTATTTAGTCGAGAATATTGTTTAAATACGATGGAAGTTTACAAGTGTTCTTCAAAATTTCAAGGAATTCAGTTAGAATAATAAATATGCTGCACCGAAGCATGAATTTAATTTAAATACAGAATTCCCAAAGAAGACAATGTGAGATAACAAAATGTGAACAATTAAAATCGTTACAACATGTAAACAGAATTGCAAATTTACTGTAAACACACAAAATATGCGATATAAATTATTCCCTGATATTGCAATAAGGAAAAATCGAAGAAACTTTTGATTTACGTTTTGCCTTCACTATGGCTATTTTTAATCGATGACCACAAATCTGTTGGAAATGTATGTCACCATAAGAAAGTAATTAATTAAAACGAAATTAAAACGTGGAATATAATAGAATACAGAATTTTTGTTTGTCATTCTATTAAAATTTGGCGACAACCTTCTTAATTATTAATAATTATAAAAATTGAATATTCTCACAAGAATGAAGCATTTCTAAATTATTTTCAGACTTCAAACAAACCGATAACATTTCAATTTTAACCATTACTAGTTTCTTTTATTGAAGAAAGCTTAAAAATGTATAAATTATTATATGTAGTGTTACAACAAATTGTTAGAAGTATAAATGTATAATGAAATTGTGAAAATTGATAAATTTACAACAAAACTGTGAAAATTTATAAATTTTCTATTGAAGAAAATTGAGAAAACGTGTAAATTATCATACGCAGTATTATAACAAATCATTGTTAACATAAATTTGTAATAAAATTGCAAAAATTGATAAATTATACCGTGTGATGATAATGAAGAACTCCCGCGAAAATTTCCCGCCTGACCTTATTAACGACTTTGCTAACGACATTGCTAATGACTTTGGGGAGAGGGAACAGACACTATATAAGGACCCGCGGAAGTGCCGCGAAATCATTCACCGTTTATACTGGGCCCTAGACACTTCGCGGCAATTTAGTCTTAAAGCCTCTGAGATGTGAATAGTGTTGTCGAGGGCTACTATAGCTAGCCTATGTCCACCCTATACACACTCTGCCTTCTTGTAACACTTGTATACATTAGAACCAAATAGCATTTCAATACAATAGACTGAACAATAATTCATTTCAACTAATACCTATTAGAAATTTTTCTTTTTAAATAAATTTCAATAATTTTACCAACTGCTGGTACTTGCTATACAATTAATATCAGACTTGAAATATTCTACTTCGAATTTTTGTTTTTGAATAAAAACAAATAATTTCTTCGGTTATCGATACTTAATAGAATATTATACCCGGCTTCGAATAAAATATTTGGAAATTGTTTTGAAGGTTTAGGGAAACGAACATTTGAATTTTAGTCGTCGTTGTTCTTCAGACTTGTCGAATAGGACATTGAAATGAATTTGAGAGTTTATGTTACATTGTTAGATTTGTTACAGCTTAATAATATGTACTTTTCTTCCAGCTATTGAAACTAATTTGAAATTTTTCTTGCAGTTTTTAAAATTCATTTTCTCTGATATTGAATTTATTTTGTGACTTGTTATTTTGCAAACTAATTCACAGATATCCGAGGAAT